ATATAAGATAACAAGCAGTACTGCAGCAAAGCATCACAAATGAACAGGTATCCCACCACAGAGAGGTCCATAATAGAAAGGTAGATCCATAGTAGAAAGGTGTTAGCAACAGGGCATATAACCAGGAAAAGTCCAGCATGGGAATAATACAATAACAAATTAGTAGAGATATGTCTAAGAACAGAGAAAAGAGGCAAAACAAAGGTACTTTGAAGCAAAAAATAAAGCCACGGGAGATTTTAGTAAAAGCTCTGAGCACCTGCAGTTTCACTTTTCAAAACAAAACTTCTGAAACTTTCTTAAGGTTGGACTGTGGTAATGAAAATCATTAATATCCAAAGATGGGCACAGTTTCTCTTCAACAATGCACACAAGGTATATATCCACATCATAAGGATATACAGAGTAGTCCTTCATAAAGAAACGCTAAATTCAAAACATGACAAAAAAGACCTAAATTTTAGTTTTTCAGAAGCACCATGCCCCATCAGAACCTCAGAACCTTGCAACACTGGGCATTTCAATACTCAAAGATGCAGAATAATCTTCCCTCCAGAGCCCCAGTATTGAGATATTGCAGTTTTGCTCTTTTTTTTTTTTTTTTTAAGTGAATCTCTCTGTTTATCTAAATACTTCAACAAATGAAACTTTCATGAAGTATGAGCTTTAGATTTACAGATCTTGCTAACAAATATTTAAAAGATGTAAAAGACATACTACTTTCACCACTGTGTGGACTGTGTCAGAATTTAGTATAGAGTATCTTAATGGTAGAGAAATTCCTCAGAATGACAATCAGCTAGCTACTTTAAACTTCCAGGCAGGGGATCCTGCTAAGCATTTTGTTAAAGGAGGTAGGAATTGTTAACTATAAACTGCTTGCTCTTCACAGCCAGGGACATTTGGATAACTTCTAATCTAGTTGTCAAACAATGTGTAGAGGATACTCTGCCAGTCTCGCTCTTTTTGCTCACTAGGGTACCTTCAGTAACCATTCTACCAGGCACTACAGAATCTGTCCTACCATGCAAAGTGAAGCATCACATTTAGGACCAATTTTCTGGAAATCAAGATGTCTCTAGATGTCTCTATGAAGTCACAATAGATATTGACTCATTCTGAAGCAACTTACATTGCTTGCTTAGCTCTTCCTTTAGTCCTACACCATTTAAAGACATCATTGTTCTGATGTCAAGTACGCTCAAGTACCAAACTAAGGCCATAAATCTCTCTTCTGCAAATTCAGCTCAACTCTTCACTTCTTTCACACCTTGTATCAAAAAAAATATAATAAAATAAAAACAGTAACTACAATAAAAGATGCTTAAGAAATCAGAAAGACTACCTCTTTCAAGACCGTTTCTGTGAAAGTAAAACTCTGATGCAGCACAAAAAAAGTCAGTCTAGTTCTAGAAAGGAGAGAAGGGACTAGAAATATTTTTTTTTTCCTGCTCATCTAGTCAGGTTCTAACTATTGAAAACTTTTCATTTAGAGAAAATGAAATTTTCTCTAACAAATGAAATGAAATTTCATTGTTTCTTTTTTTGTTTCTTTATACAGAAACAATTTCACTTAATAAAATGTTTTCACTCAACCTCTCAAAGCCAAATGTCACAAGTTTGAAAAACTAAAAACTAGTTAAAATATATCAAGATTTCTTTTCTTGGAGCCTCTTTGCAGGTTTTATGGTACATCTGAGGACTGTCCAATGGACTATCAACACTGGAATCTCACCCTTGATCTACACTAAAGTACTATCTGGCAGCAAAAACTTTAAAAAGCACAATACAATAAAAAAAGTACTTCTGACAGTCAGTTATCTTTCATACAGCCTCATAAAACTGATATCACATTATATAGCAAAAAGGAACTTTTCTAGTAATGGCATCTTACATACAAAATTATAAATCTATCTGCAAAACAGCAGTACAGTTTTTATACTGAGATCTCAAAAAAAAAGAAAGATACCTCTAAACTAATATTCCATTTTACCAGTCTTACTGGTCTGTACCAGGGACTGACTGCAATCCCAGGTGGTATGGGATCTGGGACACAAAAAGCATGGGGTTGCTCAGTTGCAAAGATCCTTGTATATTTTGGCTCACACAAACCAGCAGCTTCCTGTTATTCTTGACCCCTCTGTCCACCATTTTCCCCCTCAATATAAGAAATATTTGGTTAATTTAAGCATAAAGACACACAAGCATGCACACACACAAACAAGCGGCTGAATTTTATGTGAGTCTACTAGTAGGTTTTAGTTTTTACCAGATCAATAAGTTTAATGAATAAAATCCTATAGAGACTTTTTAACCTCACTTCAGTAGATATATTGTTTGATTCACCGGAGTGGAGACAAAAATTGTCAGATGCCACTGAATGTTTAAGCTTCAGATTTTAAATCACCAGATGACAAAGAGAGCCCAAATGCATAACATTTAAAAATATTAACATTTCCATAGAAATTAATTCTGAAATATACTAAGAGATCATGTTAACCTGTCACTCCGTCTTGTTGCTGTGACTACAGTGAGGCATGGCTGCAGTTTCTTATGACATCATCAGAACACATCACTGAAATTAGAACCTTCTGGTATAAGTGCTGGAAGATTTGAGCTAGAAGTCAAGCAGTCACAGCTTTCTAATCAGTACTTTTCTTCTAACAAGCTACACAGATTAATAAAAGAACAATTACTTTCACTCTCAATCTTCTTCTAAATTGTTGTAATCTTGGATAAATAGAATTTAATGAGATCACCTTATGCTAAATTGATTTTCCTATTCTACAGAGTAAAGTGCTTTTCAGTTCAGAACTCAACAGTACGCACAGTGATCATGATCAAAATAATACTTTCAGTAGATGAAATGTGAAGACACGCACAATATATTGCTTTGCTATGAAATTCTAATATAAATGCGGGTAATTTCTATATTCAGATTCCTGAAATGAATGTTTTATCCCTTGCAATGAATTATTTTTTTCCCTTTTCAGTGAAGGATTTTTCAAAAATATACATTCCTTTTGGAAATCACATATATCCTCATAAGACAGATGAAGTCATCCTATGCTGAATTGAAGTCAGGACCTACCAAATCTAATACATCTTTTGAATCAAATATATGATCTACTAAATCATATCAGTATTATGTATATTGAAAGCTAAACTGATGAATCACTGGATAAATCAGATAGCAAATGCATGACAATACAGTATTTATTAAAATGGAACAGTGATTCGTTTCAGTTGCCAGAACTTAATATATCAAGTTCTGAAGAATTCTTCAAAATTGCAGGGATTTTGCAGAAAGGCAGAAGACACAGGTAAAAATAGGCTAGAAAAGAGCTATCTGTGTGCGCATCCACAGAACAAGATACTGTATGCTGTTGTTTTGTGGGGGTGTTCATTACGGCTTCCAAAGAAGTGCAGATATTCTGCTATAGTCAGATTTAAGCATGTGTTTGGGATTTTACATTTAACAGGCAGGGGAAAAATTTGAAGAAAAAAAAAAAAAAGGAAAAAAAATGACTAAGTATTTTGAGAAAAACCCTTGGTGAAAGGCTGAGAAAAATAGGTATATTCAGTCAAAAGAAATAAGAATGAGATATGGTAATATAACCCTACACATACATTTTTGATTTCCATCTCTGTTAATAATATTTAGACACGGTGTTTAACAAGGTAATGAGTATTACTAAAAATACTACAAAAACTCTTAAATGAAATACCAACCTAAAACAGCCTGTGTAAAAAACACTCCTCACAATTCCACTCTATTTGTTCTAGGAGACACCTGAGAAGACATGTCCTTAAGTTATTAACTAATGACCAATAGATCTCTGCCAGACCACAGCAGCAAAGCAGATTTCAGATTTTTGAAAATGCAAAATGAGGTTACAAATAGGATATGGATCAAATACCATCACGATCTCAGAAGAGCAAGGGAAATATCCATGAGATTGACATGAACAAGACAAATGCAAGATCAATACTGAGAAAATTTTAAAAGTCCAATTAAATAATGGGTCAAGTGGTCATGACTAGCTGCAGAACTGTAACCGGTAAAGAATCTGAAGCTTGGTCAAGCTCACATGACATGCTTCATGCTCCTTGCTTCTCAACGGAACCCCACCCAGATATATATATATATATTTTAAATCCACTCAAATTTGTGACAACACTGGAATATTAGTTTCCTTTATACCCCTCCTTTTCCACCTCTGTGAGGATTAAAATATTACCTGAATTATCTGCCAGAATAAACAGTCTGTGAATTCATTCCAATTTACACAACCACTATTTATTTATTTGACATTTTGAATTAAGAGCACATGCAAATAGATGTTTACAGTTGAAATGATAGCAGCATAGTTAAAACCAGTAAAATATCACCATGTATTATATTTAAGGAAGAAATTCTTTACTCAGAGGGTGGCAAGGCACTGGAATAGGTTGCCCAGAGAAGCTGTGGATCCCTGGAAGTGTTCAGTGCCAGGCTGGATGGGGCTCTGAGCAGCCTCATCTAGTGGGAGGTATCCCTGCCCATGGCAGGAGGGTTGGAATTAGATGATCTTTAAAGTCCCTTCCAAATCAAACCGCTCTATGATTCTATGATTTCTGATAGTTTATTTTAGCCATTAAAAAGAAATATTTAGATATTTATATGGATAATACTCCTAACAATCTATTTTCCCTGTATTCAGGATCATGTCTCTTAAGGCTGAGGTAGGTCTGGTCCATAAAATGTAATAAAGACAAGCCTGGAAGTTAACTCTTTTCTACTCTTGCCCTTCAGGAAAATAAGTTCCTGAACTTGAGATAGGGCCTATTTTTTCCACAGGGACCTAATTTCCTTGCTGAAAAAAGGGAGCGGGGGGGCATAATGTACAGCTGTATACTGAAGTCAGCCAGTTAACCCTCCTGTGCTGCACATGGGATCATTGCTTGCACTGCTGAACGCTTTGACAAAGAATAATCCCACTTGGTAGTCACATACTCACCAATTTCATCACAAGTCTGAAGTCTCTAAAAAGGACTGCCTCTCTTCCTTCTTTTGTTAACTTCCTGCATTTCCAGTACCCTGTACATAATTAGGAATAATAAGTTTTCCTTACAGTTTTCACAAACCTAGAAATAAGTATTTAAAAATGGAAGAATCACTCAGCATATTTATGTTCTCTCTACACAGAGCTTCCCTTATACAAAATAGCATAGTGCACCTTTACTGCCATGAATACAAAGTCAGAAATAGTGTGATGTCTTCATCTACCCATCTTCTGCACAGCTGACATTGGCACAATCAGCTTCACTTGCCAGAAGAAATTGAGTGAAGTAGCTGGGCCGCCTAATTTCAGCCCTACTTGGAAGACAGACTAGACCACATCAAGTCTGGCTCCCTTGACTCCCTCAGAGTCTTCCAATGCAGTCCCACAAGGATTCCTGTGCCTGCAGGGAGTGTTTTAACTCATTGAGGAAACCAGAGTCCCATCCCTGAAGAGCATAAGCACAACTGAGGGCTGCCCAACCTTATCCCATGGCCAAGCTCAGGCCACCTGCAGCCACATCTAGGGAGGGTTCTCCCCTAGGGCTGCTGGAAAGAATGCTCATGGTGGTAAGAGAAAAAATAGTTTAAAAAATAAACACTCAGGAACACAAGTAAGCGGACCACCGAGGAGACACATAGCCTAGTCCAGCAGGCAACTTTAGCAAATGGGTGACTAAAGTCAGCAAAGTTTTAGCACATTTGGGAAAGGTACAAGCTGGGAAGGTGCTGCAGTAGAGCTAGACAAGCTACTCAGCATGGGGCAGAACAAATCCCTTATGCTGCAGAAAGCCCAGGCAGGTAAGGACAGCCATGTCTGAAGCTGTTACAAAGAAAATATTGGCATGCCACCACAGCCTCAAACAGGTCACCAGAGATAACACTAAGGCTCTACCATGCTTTAGGTGGAAACTGGAGTATTGGCTCTGGTTCTGCTAGCAAAGACAATTAAAAACCAGTCACTGTAATTTTGTTAGACATGAGTAAAGTTGGAAAAAGTAGCAGGTCAGGTGTACAAAGGGTCATTTTTTTGCAACAGGTTCATTTTTTGCTCAGCTTCTCAGACAGCCTCTGTCAAGGAACACTAGAGTACATCTTTAGATACCCAAAATTGAAAATTGGCTGGTATATTTGCTGGAATCAACTTTGTTTATTGTCTGCATTAAAAGCCAGGGGAATGTTCATATGCTTACCTACACGGATGTGTTAAAGTCTTGCTATACTAAGCTGATTTAATCTTTTGCTCTGTGGTCTTTTATATGTCTGTGGAAAGATTTCTGCTACTAAAATTTGTAAGCAGACTCTCCTACAGATTATAGTGTTATAAATAGGTGATAAGACAGAACAAGAACTAGCTCAATAGTTTCAACATCTCCAAAATCTGGTATTTAATTTTCTCCAAACTAAAGCACCAAGAACAGCATGAAAGGACACTGAAAGATAAGAGCTAGGGACAGTTATTCCATCCAACTGCCAATATGTTGTATAAATTTGTGGTTCCCATGCATTTTTGAATTTATCTTTCTCATTTTTTCACAACTTCTGTGTTATCTCTTAAAATGAAGTTATTTCTATTAGAAAACATTCAATCCCAAGCTGCTGGATTCTCATTAGTTTTCCCAGTCTCTGGGCACCTTTTGTGGTTGAGATGACCCAAGAGATTCTTCTTTGTTTTGCAGCTGGTGAAGTCCAGCACAGGATTTAAGAATCTAATATGTCTCATAAAAGATAGTTACTTTGAAATTACTCTCTTTGTATCAAGGTCAAACTATCTCAGAAAATAATAGCAAGATGATAATCTCTAAATGGGGCGTACCACAATAGCAAAACAAGAAAACGGGACCACTACAGCCAACATAATTCCTATTAGCCATTAGTATCTGTCTTTCAAAAATTACTCTTTGAACACACATTCATATGATTGGGGGTCAATATTGCTGGCATCTTAATTGTGATATATTCCACAGTTTTCTTAATGGTTCTTGCCTACTTGCCAGGTCCCATCATTTCTACAGAAGTAAAGTGGTACTGCTGGCATGGGACACCCAGCAATCTGAGTTTGCCACCTTGTTTGAAAAGAAGGTTGATAAACTGAATACAACAAACTGCAATGGCAGCATGTGTGATACAGTACAAAAAGCAAATGAGGAGTTTAAGAGCAGTGGTATTTAACATTTTAGAAAAATACAGAATAGAAAAGCAATGTGTCATGAGATAATATTCAAAGCTGAAGATGTGTCAACTTGTTTAGCAATCGTTTGAATTGAGTTGTTAAAGACTTATTTGGAAAGGCCTGCAGGATGTATGATTCAAGTCATGTTTTTTTTCAACTCTTTTAAGCTTTTTTTGGGGGGCATGTGGTCATAATACGTACAGATATATTAAAATATATGTACATCCTTCTTTCCCTCCCTACTTAGAAGTAATTTACTTGGGGCTTTGTCACTCAAATTCTTCAAACACTTGCTTTCACATTTTCCTAAATTAATGTTCCACTAAACCTTTCTGTGTCTTTGTAAAATAACTTTCATTTTATACACCTTTTTTTGTTGTTTTTTTTTTTTTTTTTTGGCTCCTTCTCTCCTTTAATTTTCTAGTATCCACCACTTGGGATTGTTTTGTTGTTTGGGGGGTTGTTTTGTTTTTAATGCAGTGGTTGATCTGAAATTATTTCTGCTTTCTGACAGCTGAAGGAAAATCCAGATTTGCCTTGTAAACAAATTGAACCCGTATGTCAAAAAAGCAGCATGAAACATGTTCCATGATCATACTCTCTCTATATTGTTGGATTGTGTCAGTCCATCATCCTGAAAACTTCGTGTTTCTCACATTTATCTGTGGGTAAAAATAAATAAATGAATAAATAAATAATAACGTACCTTAGACATCTATGTCACATTTTCAGCAGTCAGCTGTGTCTTTTGGACCCTAGTTCCATCAACTGTCAATGGCATTTGGACTTCTGTATCCCTTTTAAAATTAAGACATTGTTCACACTGGGGGCAGAATTTTCTGAAATATCCATTCTCATTATAATTAAGTCAACCAGAAAATCTTCTACAATATCATCACTATTTGTTTGACATACTCGGCTATTTTTGGATATTGGACTATTATATATTCCTGAATTACCATTCACATCCTCAAAGGTAGCATCTTCTTGATAAAAGCAAAAAGGATGCTTTGATGTACAGGAAATGGATCACAGAGTTCCTGTTCACTGGATGGAACAATTCACAATGCTCAATGAACAATGTAGTGACAAACCTGTAAAAATGACAAAACAACAGTAGTCAGTGTGATTGTTATTGTTGTTTCATGTCTTTAATACTAGATTAGAGATTTTTGTTTTAAGTGAAGTAAAAAACAAACAAAACAAAACAAAACAAAAAAAACATAGGAAATAGAAACCATAGCTCAAGAGGAATCTCACGTTTATCAAAATTTGTTACCAGATTACCTTTAGCATAACTCAGAGCACCTTTCTACAGTTCTGTTTAACAATTCTATAATGCAGATAAATTAAAACATACGCAGCAATGATTTAGCTGAGATGCAACACTGTGTCTACAATGGAGTCCTTCTGTGACCTTGCCAAGTTTACAGAGTGTGCCAATAACAGAGCTGGGATTAGAAAACTGACTGATTAAAATTTTGCTCACTAGGATAAAACACTTGAAATGAATCATCTCATTTTCCAGCATGTCCTCGGGTTGCTGCAGGCACAATAAATTACATTCATATAATAGCAAACAACTATAAAAAATTAGAGTTCATACATTTCATATATATTGTAACACCATGGCCTATTTTTAAAACTCTGAATTGCCTAAAGTTTTTATGCTCACAGACAATGAAATATATGACCAGTATTTTTCAGAGTGAAGTTTCAGAACCATGAGCCTGACCCAAAATACTTAGAACTAAACCGAAATATTTCTCTGACTCTGAGGCTCCAGAACAAACTTTATCTGCACATTTCTGATTAACATCAAATGCTATCCCTAATACCTCTGCAAAAATGCACTTGCAGAGATGCTGAATGTTCTGGGTATAACCTTGTGCACCAGTGAAATGAGCAGAATATAAATAGAAAACAGCAACAAGCAATTGCAGTGGAAAATAATCAGCAAAAGTAGTAATGGAATTAATGGCTGCCAAAGCCTTGCATATCATGGCAAAAATGCAATCCATCATGCAGCTGTTTGTCATTTTTGCACAGGGTTCCAAACAGCTAAGGTTTGCCTAAGGAGGCAAATCTCTTAGGTGTCCTCTCTAGTAAATGAGGAGATGTAGGCTCCTCCACAAGGAGATTAATTCTTCCGATTGCTTTCTGAAGAAGCCCATCTACTCCACCTACCATAAAGACAGTCTGATCAGATCCACTACCCTGGCGTAAAAGCCTTTTATTTGTGCAAGCAGTTACACATAATTCAATTTTCCTAGCAGAGAAAATAGTTAACATCTGAAAACAACCTCAAGCTTTTGTCAAGACAGGGAGGAAGCTATTCAGCTAGCTTGGTGGTCTACTGGACAAAGTGATCAGCAGTGTTCTATTTTAAGTTCCTTAAAATTTAAATAAAATGTTGCAGTACAAAAAGTTTCAGAGAGGATTATTACAGATGCTCTACAAAGACATCAAAAATACTATAGTAGCTCCTCAAATACATCTTCTTTTTCTATTCTTTTCATGCCATAACTAACTGTGCTGCAATTGCTGAAAGGTTCAGGAGTTACATTTACACTCTGTCCATTAATCAGATTTGAAAACACTTGAGCACACATACAAGTCAAAATGCCAGCTATTGGGCAAATAGGGGAAATGCCAAATCTAAAAGAAAGTGTAAAAATGAAAGCATTAGGGAGGTTCTCATTTTGCTTAAAATTTAAATCAGGCTTTTGAACTGAATTTGAGAGGAATCAGACACTCTTAAAAGGAGCATCACCACTGTTTCAACTCCTGAAAAGGCAGTTGTATCTTTCAGAATATCCCACCTTTCCGCTATTCTGGAATTCAGGTACCACTGAGGCAACTGAGACAGCTTTGCATCAAAACACTCCATCACCATTCCAGGAAGTGTTTGCGTAGGAGGGAATTAGAATACATACAGATCATACTGAAAACTAACAAGATAAATACAGAAATAAAACAAGGACAAATCAAGACAACCTGAAATCCCAAGCCTCCATTTAATGTATAGATCTAGAACACAATCACTTCAGTTGTTTATTTTCTAAGTGAGGTGCAAACTAGAATTCTTTACTGAAACACAAATTGAGATGCACTGGACTAGTATTTTTTCTGCAGTCTGGCTCCAATCTGTGTGTCAGTTTTCAAGACCACAATGTTAGCATTTCATTGTAGGTCTTAAGATATCTGAATTTCTTACATGGTACAATAGGATTTTGAATGAGAAATAAGATAATGGACTCAAAGACTTTTCTTTTTCCTTTTTTCCCCTTTTCCTTTTTTATTCTTTAAATGAGGGTAACCATTTCACTAGCACAAACTATTTACAATCACAAATGTGTTTTCTGGAAAATAAATATTTGCAATAAAAAATAACAAGCAAATATGTTATGCATAAAAAAAAAAAAAATGATTACAGAGAGATTCCTAGGGGGGAAAAAATCTCTATTCCTCTCTATATACCTTCTGAATCCTGATAACTGATACTAGATTTTTTATTTATGTTCTTAACGTTACAAATTGCGTTACCATAACAAGGAGTCAATATGTGGCAAGTTTTTTTAGATCACAACCACAAAAATACTAGCAGGTTAAAACTGGCTGCTGAAAACATCTCATTTTTTACAGTACAAATATTGTCCTTCATTTTAAAAAATGTCAGCCACCGCAATTGCAGACAAACAATAAATTAATCCTAAAGAGCCATTTATCCAACTAGTAATAAGGTACAAATATATTACCTTTAAAAACTACATTAAACTACACTCTTTTGCTGAGTTTGCTACATATTAGCTTTAACATTTTATAAATGGCTGCACAGGTGACAAATGAAAGAGGTTTCTCCACAAAATAACTGAAAGTAGACAATGGTGCCTCTGAACTAAATCTCTAATATTCATGGATGTTAGTAAATTTATAGACCAATGATGAGATGCAAGTTAATTTTAAAGAATATTTCTCTTTTCCTCTGATATTACTGCAGCCCTGAAATAGCGTTTTGCTCCAAGAGGAACATAGCAGGCTGTAACTACAAGGAAATTAGGCACTTAAAATGGGAGTTCAACCTTTGTGATCAAATGTTTCTTCCTATATCCACTAGAAAGATAAATATATTAAAAGAAGCTCAGTCTTTGGTGAGACACAGAACAATTATATGGAAAAAGATGTTTACTGGAGTGCATTCACTTTAAATTCTCATTCAGGAAAGCATCATTATTCAGGAAAACACTTAAGCACATGCTTGACTTTAAACACATGCTTTGGACCCAGTGAAGTAAAAGAGATTTAATCACATTCCAGATAATGATGGATATAAAGCCAAAAGATATTAACATGAATGGTTTTTGGATCCAGGCTTTGCATTTTTCAAGTCTTAAATATACACATACAGACATGTACATACACATATACATACACCCCCACACAGACACATACACAGAGAGATCTGTCTCTAAACTAAGCCAAAACATGGGGAACTAGAATTCAAAAGATAATTTGTTAAGAAACCAAAATTAAACTTAAAGAGCAGATTTCAAATACAGTGGCCACTTCATCTTGCTGGCTCCTTAAATCCCAAGCTTATTTACTCTAAAGTAAACATTTCTGAAAGCCTAGGCATTTCCTATCTGCAATCTTCCTTCTATACTCTCACGTCCCAAGTTTTGATCTCACAGAAAAGAAATGGTTTGGCATTAAGAAAAATCCAGTTTACATAGCTTTTTTTTTGGCATGTTCTGATGCCAGGAACAAGAATCCATTCCTCTTCTAAAGAGATGAGTCTCCTGATAAGACACTGATGTTGGCACAAGCACAGATTTCACATCACAGCTCACTTTACGGACTTTTTCACATGAGATACAGAAGAAAAAATAAGGCATAGTTTATGTATAACAATGAGTTTACTCAGTTGATTAATTAGTCAATCACTTATCAGGTTAATCATTATTTTCCTGATATAGAAAATGGGGATTCCTCCTCATTTTATCCCTCGAATAAAGAAAAGATGCCTTTTTAGAAGCAAATGCTAAAAAGGGGGTTGGGTGAACTCTCATTGAAGCTTTGTAGCACAATAACATCCCTTTTCTAGAGTACATTTCAAATGCAGTTAAGCTCTTTTTAAAAGCTTAATAATAAGCAGAGCTGTAAGACTTTCCTTCTAACACACAGCATTCACACAAATCTGCCCATTAGTTAGACTAAATGTTGAGGAAGACTTTTACTGGGAACTGATGACAGAGACCTGGTTATTATTTGATGAAGATATATAGATATGTGAATAGAAGCAGCCAAAACAAACAGCCAGAAAAGCTAGGGGAACAGCAAGAGAAATACTTGCCCTGTGACTATCAGAAAGTGTGTACTATTTGGATTCCAGAATGAAATATAAAATAAACTGCTATTTCTTTCCTTCCTGTTATGCTTGAGGAAGCAGTTTTTACTTCTTTAGTAAACAAGCAAAGTGGCATCTGAGAAGTACAGTTGAATATCACTAGTTTCTCCCTGCAACAGGAAAGGAAAAAAGCATGTTAAAAAAAAAAAAAAAAAAAGGAACTGAAAAAGGAACTGAACCATAAAATTAAAAATACTGAGAAAAAAAAAAAAAAAAAGAAGGAAAGACTGATAGCTAAATAGAAGGCCACATTTCGATGACTTACAAAAAGTAAGTGGGGAAATTTCTGTAACTTGATGTTCTGTAACAGGTTTGTTTAAAGGTTTCTCTTAAGTCTTAAAATTTGTAATTTTATATAAAGAATAAAACCACTATTTCTCTTAAACCATAAGAAGCCCATTTCAGCCAAACCATTTCATGGATGAATATGAAACACAAAGAAAGAGAAAGGGAAAGAGAATCAGCTCCTTGTAGATTAAATCTTACATTAAATCTCTTATTTGTCTTCCTTTTGGGGTGCCAATCTAGGTCTGTTTATAGACTATTATAATGACAATTATAATAGACTATTAATAATGACAATTATTATGTCAGTTTATAGACTGACTGCAACTATGCCAGGAGTACAAGCTTGAGATTTTTATTACCTGTGGCAGAAGACCTCAACTCTAACAAGCTGAATGTTCA